CCCCCCCCCCCCCCACTCAACCTCACTGGAAATTCCAATATTAAGCTTGATACATTTCTTTAAATGTTTTAATCTTAGAGAACCCCCACCCCCCAGGATATTCCAATAGATAGATAGAAAACTTTATATACATGTAAACATGGTAACTTTGCCCAATCCCCTCTGTAGGGGGAGTATGGATATTTTCTGGGACTAGCTACACGTAAGACACTGGTGCTTTGTAGTTCTTTAAAATAAGAGTTACCGGTTGCCTGGGCTGCAGACTCAAAACATCTGTGCACTTTCCCACGAAGACTGCCTAGTTCTTTCTCAGTTGGAGCTCTCACATAATATGCTAATGAAGCCTTTTCAGGAATTATGTTAGGCTTTGCTCCTCCATCTGTTATAACACCATGAAGACGCCAGGATGGTTTCAGCTGTTGTCGCAGTACACTCAGAGCATTGTATGCCATAACCGCAGCATCTAATGCATTGACTCCCTCCCATGGAAAGGCACTAGCATGAGATGATACTCCATGGAACAATACTCGAACATCTTGCATCGCTAAGCATGTTGGATAGACACAGTTGAAAGGTTTTGGGTGGGCCATCAAGCAAAAATCCACCTCATCAAAGCAACCATTCTCAATCATTTTAATTTTTCCACCCCCACCTTCTTCTGCTGGAGTGCCCAGAACCACTACTTTACCCAAGTCCTGGTTTGATCCTTCAAGTGCTGCCTTTAAACCTAAAATTCAATTTTAAAAAAATTCAACAAATTGTACCAGATAATGTCACAAAACCTAATATGTACTTGAGCCTCTTTAAGGGGATAAACCCCTAAGAGTGTCACACATGTATGCATAAAGTAAAAAAAAAAAGAATAAAGCCTTCTGTGGAAACGTCAAATATATTTTCAGGAATTGGCCAGACTTCATCTTCAAATTTCTGAAAGAACAAACCCCATCTAGTGACTCAGGGTAAAATGTTGTAACTCTTTCTTCCTGTTGATTATAAACCATCTGCTACATGTAGATACCATTTCGCTGTTGTCCGTATAACAAAATAAGAAACTAAATCATTACTCTTGATTGGGGAGGTCTCTTCGATGGTTCTTTCATTTGCAAGGGGGGCATTGGGGTCTATTAAAAACCATAAAACCATAGAAAAAGATCATCCCAAGCTGCAAAGGCGCAAAAAAATTCGATGAAAAACGAAAACCCCATACAAAACCATCAAAACCAGCAAATTTTCACATCCCAATTATCAAAACACTAATTGATCTGATATATGCAATGGTGACAGGTGGATGTGACTTGGCTGAAGCCTCTCTCGAGCCCGGTCTTTGCATGCTCATTTTTTAAAAGTAGCTGGTAGTGGATCCTAATTAAATTAGGAAAATTCACACAAAAGTGCTGTGTAGAATTGCAATT